CTCCACTCCTCCCCTTTCTTAACCCCTCCTTGTATCCCCTCCCCCTTCCTCCTCCACCCACTCCTCCTCCCCTTGACCACCCGTCCCCCCTCCCACCCCAAGAAGCTCCTCCACCCCTTTATCCTCATATTCTCTCCCTTCCCTTCCCCATTCCACTCTCTCATCAAATCATACCACCCCAACCCCAGACTTACAGGAACCACACAGGCTTCCCGAACTTTGGGATGTGTGACGATCCTCTGCTCCAACCAGCCCGGGTATACAACAAAAGCTCCATACATGATGATGTCATTCTTTCGACCAATCACGTACAGGTTCTTCTTGTCGTCATAGTAACCGTTGTCATTGGTGTCGAACCAGCCGTCGTCATGCAATGACCCAATCGTCGCGGGATCTTTCTCCTCCAGCTGGTTCAAGTAGCCGGGGAACACAGTCAGACCTGGGAGACGAGAACACGTGCGAGACATGTCAAAACAACAAGAACAGCAACACAATGGTAACAACGACAACAACAACATCAACAACAAAGCAACAACAATAACAACATCAATTACAATAACCAGAAGAAGATGAACAGCTACAATAACAACAACAAAACAACATTATATACAATAACAATAACAATAAAAAGAATTTAAAAAATAACAAAACAACAACAAAAGAAGCATCAGTTATAATAACAATAATAAGAACAACAACAACATCATCTTCAACAACAGCAACAAGAGCACCATGAACAACAACAACAAAAACTGCAGCAGCAGCTACAGCAACAACAAGAGAAAAATAGAAACAATAGATACTACTGCTATAACGGCAACAACAACAACAGCAACAACAACAACAACAACAATAACAACAGCAACAACAACAACAAAAAATAGTGACAGCACAGCAGCTACTACTACTACTACTACTACTACTACTACTACTACTACTACTACTACTACTATTAAAGTTAGGGGTAAATCCCCTTAGAAAAGGGAGAACATTTTGAAAAAAAAGTAATTCTAGTTTATTTTTCATAAGTCATAATTATATTATTTTCAGGTTAATGGCCATGCCCCTTAACAAACCTAGGCAGTGTTTTCAACATTGCATCTCTGAAAAAAATATAATCCAAAAGAAGTTTAAAGTATCATTTCTTTGCACCCATCAGTTTGTGTAACAGCTCTGCCACTGTAAACAAGGACACATTCAACCCCATGAGAGATAAAAACATAAAAACTGGTCGCTTTTAAGCACAAGGGGGCTATCCCGACAAAAGACGTTATGAGGAAATCAAAGGTAAAGTTTTTGGCCCTGGTTCAGTTTCTTTAAAAGACAAGGAGAGTTTTCTCTATAACCAAACAAAAATATACACAGCAATGAAACCAAACTTCTCCTATAGGTAGGGCAATGCCCACTTTTCGAGTAGGTCAAGATTTCTGGAAAGCCCCAAAATCTGTATTAACCCGCTTGTCTTAAAAGCGACCATGTCAGTGTCTTTGTCAGATCTGACCTTTAACCCATAGAGTCCCCATCTCTCCCGGGGCACACGGGGTCCCATCCTTGTCCAACACTTGCAGGTCCAAGTAAGGAGGGACTGTGCCGCAGTAGAAGTCTTGTAAGCTCTGTAGCTGTTCTTCTGCTCAATACACGACCATATTCAATAATATATCTATAGAGGCACTAGCGATCAATGTCATGGTGTTGTCTTATTCCTCAATACAGGATATGAAAAGTAATATTGACAATGATAATAATAATATGATGATGATGATGATGATAGTGATGATGATGCTAATAATAATAATAATAATAATAATAATAATAATAATAATAATAATAATATAAAAATAAAAGTAATAACAAAAACAACAACAACAATGATAATAGCAATAATAATAATAATAATAATAATAATAATAATAATAATAATAATAATGACAATAATAATAACAATAACAACAAAAATAACAATAATAATAATAATAATGATAATAATAATAATAATAATAATAATAATAACAATAATAATAATAATAACTGTAATAATAATAAATAATGACAATAGCAGAAACAACGACGAAAGCAATAATAATAACAATAATTACAATAATGATAATAATAATAATAATTTTGATGATGATAAAGATGCTGCTTCTGCTGCTGCTGCTGCTGCTGCTGCTGCTGCTGCTGCTGCTGCTGCTGCTGCTGCTGATATCAATAAAAATTGCATCAATAAGAAAATGAAAACGAAAACGAAAAAGGAAACGATGAATAACTAGGTACATCTACGCTGGGAGATTTTTTTGTTTTCAAATTGGCATTCACGAAAGCCTTTCAGCTTTACAACATTAGTTTGATTCCCATGTTGGAATTAAAAACTCTGTCTTCTTGCCTGGGTGTGTCTTGTGCCTCAGTAAGAGTCGACTGAGTTTGTCTCCCACAGGTCTCCATAGCATCAATATTGCTGTACATCATTTAGAGTGTTGACAGAGAAAGTTGTTTTCAGGCGTTTAAAGGTAACTTCCCCTTTAGTGAACTACTTTTATATGTGTTACTGATCTTTTTAGAACAATCATAGGGTATTGTTTTGTTCCAAGTAGGCCATTGTAAAAACCCGATTGGGTGTTAATGATATTCAATTGCAGCATACAAATACGAACATGAATCCAAGTTAAGCATGTAATGGATGCAAAAATGACTGGAAAAGGAAAAAGCTTGGAAAAGTTAATAAATAGAAAAAGAAAGAGAGAGAGAACGAGAGAAATAGAGAGAGAGAAAGGGAGAGAGAGAGAGGGGGGGGGGAGAGGGGGGAGAAAAAAGATACAAACAGAGAGAGAGAAAGAGAGGCAGATAGAAAGAGAGGGAGGGGGAAGAGAGAGAGAAAGAGAGAGAGAAAGAGAGAGAGAGGCAGACAGAGAGAGAGAGGGGAGAGAGAGAGAGAGAGAGAGAGAGAGAGAGAGAGAGAGAGAGA